GGGTGCTGGCGGGCAGGTCGAGCCTTGCACTGCCTCTGCCCCCTTGGCGCATCCCTCCCCGGCACCTCCCGTCAGTCCCCAGGCATCCTCACCTGCTCCAGGTAGGAGATCCTGGGTGCAGCTCCCTTCAGGTCCAGGTGGACCAGCCTCATCTCAGTGGTGCTGGTGTCTCTGGGGACCTGCTGGCCCGGCTCTTGCCTTGGGGCTGTTATCTTTACCACAGGGAGCTCCAGAGCCTGGCTCTGGGGGCCTGTGTCCTGGTCAATGTCACCTGTGTCCCCCCAGAAGCCACTGTCCTTGCTGACATGCTTGTGCAGCTCCAGGGTAAAGCTGCAGGGAGCAGAGCAGGGCTGGGGGTGCCGCAGGGTACAGGGGCACCAGCTGCCCCCCCCAGCCCCAGACCCTCACGCAGGCATGACCCAAGGGCTCCCTGCAGACCCCGACCCCGCTGGGGCCCCCACCCACACCTGGGGTCCTGCTGTCACCTCACCTGTCGCGGAAGAGGAACTTGATGCCGGCCAAGGCCACGAGGAGCAGCACGATGAGGCGCAGCAGGTTCAGCCTGTGGCTCCGCTGGAAGGCCATCTCTGCGGGGCACACACAGGGGTCCAGCCGCATGGCAGTACCCCAAGGGACCCTGAGCTCGGGTGACCCCGCGCAGCCCAACGTACCATGCCCTTCTCTCCTGACCCAGGGCAGCACAAGACCCAGAGAAAGGGGACATGGGGAAGACCCCTCCTGCCACCCTGGTCCCCATCGGGACATGCCCAAAGACACCCCATGTCCCTCTTACCTCATGTGCCCCAGCACAGGGGCCAGTGGCCGGACCTGCCTTTGCCTCTGCCTGCAAGGGCACAGCCTCCTCGGGCTCCGCCAGCACCGGAGCAAATAAGGCGGTGGCTGCAGGGCAGGTCCCCACAGGGGGATCCCCTAGAGCCACCGTGTCACCTCCAAGACAATGGCTGTGTCACGGGGTGGCTGGGTGGGGTGGCATCATGGGGCGGGCATGGTCCAGCTGGGGCTCAGCCAGGCACAGGAGGCAACACCCCTGCGGACAGAGGAGAGATGATTCGGGATCGCCTGGGCACCTGCCAGCACTGGGCTGCTCCGAGGACTGGCATCGGGACGGCCATGGGCACTGCTGGAGGGCAGCAGCCTGGACCACCCCGGCACCCGCAGGCACGGGCACACACTCACTGTGTGCAGCACACAGCA